AGCAGTAGCAGCAGCAGCAGCAGCAGCAGTAGCAGCAGCAGCAGCAGTAGTACCAGTTTTTCAAAGCCTCACAAATTAATGAAGGAGCACAAGGAAAAACCTTCTAAAGACTCCAGAGAACATAAAAGTGCCTTCAAAGAACCTTCCAGGGATCACAACAAATCTTCCAAAGAATCCTCTAAGAAACCCAAAGAAAATAAACCACTGAAAGAAGAGAAAATAGTTCCTAAGATGGCCTTCAAGGAACCTAAACCCATGTCAAAAGAGCCAAAACCTGACAGTAACTTACTCACCATCACCAGTGGACAGCAAGAAAAGAAGGCTCCTAGTAAGAGGCCCCCCATTTCAGATTCTGAAGAACTCTCAGCCAAAAAAAGGAAAAAGAGTAGCTCAGAGGCTTTATTTAAAAGTTTTTCTAGTGCACCACCACTGATACTCACTTGTTCTGCTGACAAAAAACAGATAAAAGATAAATCTCACGTCAAGATGGGAAAAGTCAAAATTGAAAGTGAGGCATCAGAGAAGAAGAAGTCAGCGTTACCGCCATTCGATGACATCGTGGATCCCAACGATTCAGACGTGGAGGAGAATATGTCCTCTAAATCTGACGTGAGTAGCCTCCCTGGTGTTTCTCCCTTTTTTTGGGTAGTTTTCAGATTTTTATTTCAAATGCTTTTGTGAGAAGGAACGAGGGAAGAAAATGAATGCTAAACCCTGCAGAGGTAGCATGGAGATAGGGGTGGTCGAGAATTGAATTTCCGTAATGAATGGGAAGGAGGAAATGGAATCATTACGGCATCTGGAGAATTTTTTTAGACTATGATATTAGTTGTTAAAGGAAAGATATATTCTAGAGTGTAATAATGGATTATTTGTATAGCAACAGAAAATTTCAGTGCTCATTAACGTTGGTAACTATGCTTTTTTATTATTGTTGATTGAGGAAATGAAAGGTATACAATAAAACCTGACAACAAGGGAAGAATAAATTTAAAAGAGAAACCTAAAAAAACTGGGGTGGGGGGTATGGCTGTAATATTGATTTTTGAATCATTGTAATGAAATAATTTGTTTATATAATGGAAAAATGGCAGTAGTATTTTTAAATAGTTTTATTGAGGCAAAGTTGATGTACCAATATACTATGCATATTTAAAACATATAATCTGAAAAATTTTGATATTTGTATGTACTTGTAAAACCATTTTCATTGTGAAAATGAAGTCATTTTTTCTTCTTTGTGTAGCCACTGATTTGGAAAGGGGCTGTTATGTGTGGGATCTTCATTGTGTTTTCTATTGGCAGGATTATCCTCTGTGGGTACCTACAGGAGTGTCTGATCATCTAATACTTCCAGAGAATGTTATTTGATGTTGGGATTTAAGCTAATAATTACAGATTTTCAGAGTTGGAAGGGATTTTCAGGTTATCCATTCTAACCTCTTAACCAGTGTAAGAAATCTTATATCTCTGGTGACACAGCTGGTAATCAGAAGGTATTTGATTCTATTTCTGAAAAACAAACATCACTTACAATGAAGTTATCTGCTCCTCACTTTTCCTTTCTCTGATTTTAGTCTTCTCGAGTTACTTTTCAGTGACCATTGTTCCCCCGAAACTCGTTTATTTGGCTTATTAGTATTTCTAAACTATGGTCAAACCAGATGTCTAGCTAAAGATCGCTGGCAATTTTAGAATACTTTTCTTTCTCTTCCATGAAGTTACCTATAGATGGCCCTAGTTTAAATGGTAGCAAGGTGTAGGAAGCCTTTCCTTGTCTTGGGTTTGCACTATTCTGGGTAAAAAAGCAGTTGGAATCAGAATGTGGTAACAGTACCAAACCCCAGGAATACAGAAACCACTTTCTTTCACCCTACTCTCTGTAGCAATTTCAAACTTATCATAGAAGATCAAGTTAGGAGCAGAATGGCACAGAAAATACTGGCGGGTTGAATAATTTGTTCTTCCAGTGTTTAGTATTCGCTTAATAGTTATTGTCTGTAAGAGTCAAATGGGTTTGTTGCCGTATCTCAGGTATCTACTTTTCCCTTATGTGTTCCTACCTCGCTGCCTCTTCTTTAAGGCTTACTTGTAGTGGGATGTTACTTGGCACTGTTGTTTATGTTTGACTGTTGTTTCAGATCACCCTGCATTTCTATTAGGGTGTGACTAATCTACCAAAATTGTTGAGTTTAGCAACTTTGTCTTTCTATATTCTGACATATTGTGATTCATCTAGAATAAAGGTTTTCAAATTGTGAGCTGTGAGTCACTGGATGTGAGCTATGAAATCAATTTAGCATGTCTTCATCAGCGTTTTAAAAATCAGAATGCATTGTAATTAGTATGAGTAAGTGATGGTTACTGAAATTTTTATCTCAGAGAGGGTGTGTGTGTTTTTTACAGTGGTCAAAACTTTGTAAGGCACATATTTTAGAACATTTACTTACTTGTGAGTAGACCAAATTGCATTCATAAAGCACTACTGAATGTTCTTTCTACGTGAAACTATCAAAGATGGTCTTCCTCCTTAGGTAATTTTGTTTATTCTCTCTCTGGGTTTGTTTGTTTCTTTGTTTGTTTTGTTGTTGTCACTTGTTCCTTCTCTCTTGTATATTTTTTATAAAGTATAGCTTTCTTTTCATAAAATTATTTCTCGGTATATTTAACCAAAGCAATACCTTCAAAAATCTCTGGAACTAAAAGTTAGAATTATAAATTTTTCAAAGTGATGTATGACATGGTAGAGCTACAAATCCAGCTATTACAACAGGAGTTTTGTAATGTTTTCTGCATAGCATAGTAGAGGAATCATCTAAAGACTTTTTGAGTATGGTTTAGGTATGAAACCCAAGAACTATATTTCCTTTAGTTTTCTGGTAATAAATATTTTTATGGTTGCTGCTTGTGGTTTAATTTCTTAAACATAGATGGTATACCAGAGAGAATAGGTTAAGGCGGTGGGGTGTTTGCCATGTGTCCACAACCTTGCTATGCACAAAGTGGGTCAGGAGAGAAGCTGAAATTCCACTTATCCAGTGGTGAGGATAGCCTGTTTGTACTGTCTCCTACCCTTGGGCAGGGCACAAGAAACTGGAGGCAACTGCCATCAATAACAGAGCAGCATAGAGCCTCCCTTGGCAAGTAACTGATTTGTGTCATGGGGCAGGACCAGTGTCAGGGGCCCATTGTTCTGGGTGTGAGCATGATGATCTCTAAGTGATTAGATGGCCATATTTCTCTAAAGTTGTGAACAGCTTCATTTTTTGATTTTGAGCCAGATTTATGTTCATTTGTGGGGCTTTGAGTTGGCTGCTAATCTTAGATATGGCAGGCATAGATCATGGATTCTGGAAACAACCAAGCAAATAAAGGATACAAAAGAAATCAGAAGAATGTAAGAATGAGGAAGACTTGAGGAAGTGACTATTCACCTGGTTTGTCCATGAAGAAAATATCTTGATCCTGGTTTGTTGAAATTAAAAGGAAGAATATTTTATTTTATTTTAATTAGATGTTATTTGCAGTGCTAGGAATTGAACATAGGGCTTTGTGCATGCTAGGCATGCGCTTTATCATTAAGCTATATCCCTAGCCCCAAAGAATTAAAGAAACTTCTCCATAATCAAGTTTGATGCAGGTTTTATATAAAAATAAGAATCAGTATTATTAAGTTACATTAAGGAGTGTAGCTTATTGATTCAAATAGTTTTTTTTGTTTTTTTGTGGTCCTGGGGGTTGAACCTAGGGCCTTGTGCATGCAAGGCAAGTACTCTACCAACTGAGCTATATCCCAAGCCCTCGAATAGGTCATTTTGATCAGATTTTTTTAATATTATTTTTTAGTCATAGGTGGATACAATATCTTTATTTTATTTTTATGTGGTGCTAAGGATCAAACCTAGTGCCTCATGCATGCTAGGCGAGCGCTCTACCTCCGAGCCACAACCCCAGCCCCGAATTTTGATCAGATTTTTATATTCTTCATCTATGGGAAAGAGAAAAGATGACAGACACCCATGATTTATGTGTTGTGTATTTTTGGAAGGTTCACGTATTTGTTGAGAGATGGTTGGTGGGTAGATAGGGAATTAGGAGTCTGCAAGCCGGAGTCAGGCTGTGTTTTTTTTTTTTTTTAATTTTTAATATTTATTTTTTAGTTTTCGGCGGACACAACATCTTTGTTTGTATGTGGTGCTGAGGATCGAACCCGTGCCACATGCATGCCAGGCGAGCGCACTACCGCTTGAGCCACATCCCCAGCCCCCAGGCTGTGTTTTGAATCCCACTGCCACCAGTCATCTTGGGCAAACATTTAACCTCCTTGGTTTAGTTTCATTTTTATAAAGTGGAGATTATTATTAGGACCTATATTGTAAAATTATTGTGAAAAATTAATCTATCAATCTGGATAAAGCAGTTAACAAACTAATAAAACATCTGTTATTATTGTTATGTGTGACTTGGCTTCTGGGAATCTTTTATGACCTGTAGCTTTGAAGGAGATTTTATGATATTCAAATATACTGTAGAACTCTAGTGTCCTTTTTCAAGCACTTTAAGTGTGTGTGGTGGGGGCGGGGGGGATACTTGGAGGGTATAACTTCTCTGCATTCTTTCTGAGGGAGGTATGGTGACCTCCATATGCACATTACATGGTCACTGGAAAAATACAGGACAGAGTCTGAGTTATAAACCGAAAGTGAAGCCAAAATTTCCCAAGATTTTTAATGAAATGAAATAAGGACTATCACAATTAACGTTGCATTGGGTAGGCACTTGGTAGTTTTCTTTTTTTATTACAGTTGCTATTAAAAGAAAACATCCTCAGAAATAATTTGAGTTACTGTTAGTATAACCGAAGAGTAATTTTTAAATGCTTGTGATTCTTGAAATGTTTCTCATCTTACAAAAAACCCTGTTATTGTCACATGAACGTTGGTCAGTAATTTTCCCTACAAAAGAATTTGGGTGGGGAGAGAGTAAGGTAGGGAGGCAGGAGGCCTGTTTTATGGTGGGTGAACATTCAGTAAATATTGAAAGCATGGTAAGGGAATGTTTTTGTTGAGAATATTTTACATTTAAGAACATTGATAATTCCCAGGAGGGTGAAGCAGTTTTTGGTTTAGGAGTTTGTTGTTTTGGAGATATAAATGTCTAAAATACTTACAGGTTAGTAAAAAAGTGACTTACTGGTGATTCACACTAACTAGCACCAGGAAAGGGCAAGCATCTGAGTTTATCAGTATTAAGTAAAAGTTTATAATTGCGATTTTTATTAAGCTGTTTGTACTTTAATTGATAATAAAGAAGAACCCAAATATCTTTCACTCCTTCTGTAATTCCTCTGTGTTTGTTTTTGTTTCTCCTGTAACTCTGTTTCTGAATAGGCGCCTGTAAAATTGATTCTGCTTTGTGATAAGAGGAACTTTTGTATCCATACCAGAGAAGTGGGGGGAGGACGATTAATAAGAATTTTGAAGTTAACTCTTTATGATTGGGTTCAGTTATGGTAGCAATTTCCTAATCCTCGCCTTCATTACTTTTCTAGAGGTTTAATCCTAACTCACAAATGAAGAAGTTCAAAGTTTTAATTATCTTCCTTGAAA